AGCCTCTACGTGCCGGCGGGTTGGCCCTGAGGAGACCTCGGGTGTTTCTTGGGGTGCGGGTGGGCACAGCGGGGCCCACTGTCCTCAGCGAGGCCGGGTTTGCGGGGAGACTTCCACCGTCCACGGCCTGGCCCCTCAGCCGGGGCCGCTCCGTGCAGCCGCCAGGGAACCCCAGAACTCGCCCGCGCCCCCCAATGCCAGACTCCTGGGGGCCACATTCTGACAGTTTGTGTTTATGGGGGGGTAGGGGGCTGTTGTCTTCCCTGACACAGCTTTTGCCGTCTTCAGAATGTTCTAGATTATATATTTTTAAATTTATTTTTGTCGGTGGTGGGTCTTGAACTCGGCCTGGGCGCTGTCCCTCAGCTCTTCAGCTCATGGCGAGCTCTCTACCACTTGAGCCACAGCGCCACTTCCGGTTTTCTGGTGGAGTATTCGAGATAAGAGTCTCACAACCTTTCCTGCCTAGGCTGGTTTTGAACCGTGATCCTCAGATCTCAGCCTCCTGAGTAGCCGGGATGACAGGTGTGAGCCACTGGTGCCTGGCTTTGGCCCACATTGATTCACTCATTTGTATTTTTTGTTTTTTGTTTTGGGTCCAGTCGTGGGGCCTGAACTCTGGGCCTGGGCGCTGTCCCTCAGCTCTTCAGCTCAAGGCTAGCGCTCTACCACTTGAGCCACAGCGCCACTTCTGGCTTTTTTCTTTTTTGCTTATGTGGTGCTGAGGAATCGAACCCAGGGCCTCCAGCATGCAAGGCAAGCGCTCTGCCACGGAGCCACCTTCCCAGCCCCCGATTCACGCATTTGTTACATGGCATCTGGGCCGTTTCCATAACTTCGCATTGGTGGATGCCCACGAGCAGTATGGCTGGAACATAGGGGACGTCTATGCTTAATTTTTTTTTGTGTCAAGTAGAATACAAGAGCTGAATAAATCAATAAAACTTCATCAGAGAGAGTCAGTGATGGTCTATTTCAAGCATAGGATACTTGTCACACTTTGAAGATGAAGCTGGTGAAATATACTCAGATAATTCTACACCAATATAAGAAATCATGAATACAGTGTTCCTACACAACCCCTATGAAGTGATCAAATGACCAAACTTACAGCTTTTGTCCATTGAGGGAAGGCATAGGAAGCTGATATTGTGAAATGATCTCAGAATGTTTCCCAAAGTCTCATATTTCCCAGGTAAACATTTAGCTTCAGAAGCTGTTTAAAAGTACCCAGACCAGGGCTGGGAAGGTGGCTCAGTGGTAGAGCACTTGCCTTGCATAAGGTATGAGGCCCTGGGTTCGATTCCTCAGCACCACATTAGCAAAAAGAAAAAAGCCGGAAGTGGGGCTGTGGCTCAAGTGGTAGAGCGCTAGCCTTGAGCTGAAGAGCTGAGGGACAGCGCCCAGGCCCAGAGTTCAGGCCCATGACTGGACCCCCCCCACCCCAAAAAAAGTGCCCAGACCAGTTGCTCCCAGTTGCTGTCTTAGCGACTCAGGAGTCTGAGATCTAAGGATGATAGTTTAAAGCCAGCCTGGGCAGGAAAGTCTGTGAGATGTTTATTTGTAATTAACTATCAATAAGCCAGAAGTGGCACTGTGGCTCAAGTGGTAGAGTGCCAGTAAAAGCTCAAGGACAGTGCCCAGGTCCCGAATTCAAGCCCCAGGACTAGCAACAAAACAAATCCCCAAAACATTTCCAAAGCAGCGTCAGATTGACTATTTTAGAGCCTGGATAAGCGTGTGATGATTGGCACAGAGTAAATGTTTGTGGGACTCACCATCATGTGACTCTCTCCTGATCTACATCTCTGTCTCAAGTACTGTGATTTTTCCTCTTACTAATGTATCTGGGATGTTTTAGGAGCCAGTAACCATTAAAGATGTGGCCCTAAACTTCACCATGGAAGAGTGGGCTCTGTTGGACGCTTCCCAAAGGAAACTCTATGGAAATGTGACTTCAGAAATGTACAGGAACTTGGCCTCTATAGGTAAACATGGCATCATTTCCTCATTTATTCTGAGAACTGCTTTCGTGCTTACCTGTGCTTTTGCATGAGTGGAATATGGCAAAGGCATAGGTAGGGTAGTTGGAAACATGTGGCATGATCTCACTGCACTACAAAGAAATCTAATTTGTTTTTTTGTGTGTTTTTTTTCCCCCCTAAAATGTGGAAGGGATCAGTGATTTCTCTATATCTGTATTTTAGAAATAAAAGAAGAAGAAAATACTGAAGGTGGCTACAGAAATCGCAAGAGAATTGTAAGGTAACTTAGACCAACAACAAAATGAAATGTACATCAGATACCATGGAGTAATAGTAAATTTCCGAATGAAGTAAACAGTACTAACTGTCTGCTACAAATGGAATTAATCCAGGAATTCCTTTGAAACAATACAAGTTGAGCATCCAACTTAGAAAAATTAAAATCTGAAATATTACCCAAATTGTGAACTTACATAGCAGTATTATGGCACAAGATGCCCCAATTTTTCCTTTTTGTGTCCTGGAGCTTGGGAGATGGGCACTGTTCCTGATCTTTTGTACACAAAGCTAGCATGCTGTCATTTAAGCCTCAGCTCTACGTCCAGCTTTTTCATGGTTTTTGGAGATAAGGGACTTGTACTTTGCTATTTGTGCTGGCTTGGAACTGCTATCCTCAAGACTCAGCATCTGAGTTGCTAGGATGACAATTTTGAGCCACTAGCCGCCATCCTTTTATTCATTTTCCAAATACACTTTTTTTTTTTTGTGTGTGTGTGTGTGTGTCCGGTCGTGAGGCCTGAACTCTGGGCCTGGGCACTGTCTCTCAGCTCTTCAGCTCAAGGCTAATGTTCTACCACTTGAGCCACAGCACCACTTCTGGCTTTTTTCTTTTTTGCTTATGTGGTGCTGAGAAATCAAACCCAGGGCCTCAAGGCATGCAAGGCAAGCGCTCTACCACTGAGCCACCTTCCCAGCCCTCCAAATACACTTTTATCTTCAAGTAGTTGTACAAAGGAGTTGCCATTCAACAATGCAGATTATGTATACAGTGCATCTTGAACAAGATGCCCTTTTCAATGGGTAATCAAATGTTACCAGACATTGCCAAGCATTTGTTATCAGGCATTTAGAAAAGGTCAATGAAGGCTGTATATGGACTAGGAGCTATTCCTCTATACTTAATCTCCTATGGCATCAATCCCCAGCATTGACTATAAGTTCCTAGTAACTACTTGAGTTGTTCACCGGTGCCCCAGGAGCTTATGCCACTAATCCAGCTACTCTGGGGGCTGTGATCTAAGGATCACAGTTCAGAGGAAAGTCCTGGAGATTCTTATCTCCATTTAATCACCAAAAAGGCTTAAGTGTACAGGGTGGAATTTGAGCAAAACAAAGTTAAGGAACAGCATCCAGCCCCTGAGCATCAGAAAAGGAAGAAGAAAAAAATGAACACTGTTGGTGGAAATAACCTGACTTCAAGCTTGTGTATTTTCAGGTTCTGCATGGTGCACAACTTTTTGTTTGTTCTCTTGATGTATCCTGGAGGGGATTTGAAGGGACAATTAGTAAATCATTCATCAATAACATTGTGGTAATCTTTTTTTAAATTCTTTCCAGAACTGCCAAGGTAGAGAAACTTTGTGAAGAGACAGGAGATATTCCTTGTGGAGAATCCTTCCAGCAGGTCCCTGATTGTTCTGTGAACAGGAGCCTTCTTCCTGGAATAACATCATCTAATAAGCATGCCTTTGAAGAAAGCATGCAAAGACGTTCACCCACAAATGATCCCTGCCAAGTTCACACTGGACACAAAGCCTCTGAGAACCCAAAAGATGGAGATTTGTGTCCTAAGTCTAAGGGATGTCGCAATCCCTCCAGGAAGTTGCAGGGCCGTGAAATCACGGAAAGAAATCGCATCATCAAGAAGCCCTATCGATGTGAGCAATGTAGTAAAGCTTATGCCTCCTCTAGTGGCCTTCTGTATCATCAAACATTTCACACCGGTGTGAAATCCTACAGGTGTGAGCAATGTGGCAAAGCATTCCCTTGTTCCAATGCCCTTCGGATTCATGAAAGAACTCACACTGGAGAGAAACCTTATGTGTGCAAGCAGTGTGGCAGGACCTTCACCACTTACGGAAACCTGCAAGGCCATACGAGAACTCACACTGGAGAGAAACCTTATGTGTGCAAGCAGTGTGAGAGAGCCTTTGCCTTTCTTGTTTCCCTTCGAGGACATGAAAGAACTCACAGTGGAGAGAATCCTTTTCGGTGTGAGCAGTGTGGGAAAGCCTTCTGTTCCCTCTCTTACCTTCAGCAGCACAGAAGACTCCACACAGGCGAGAAGCCCTATGCATGTAAGCAATGTGAGAAAGTCTTCACTTTTCCCAATTCCCTTCGAAAGCATAAAAAAATTCACACCAAAGAGCCCCCTTATACATGTAAGCAATGTGGGAAGACGTTTGCTACTTCTGCGAGCCTGCGAAGTCATAAAGGAACTCACATCCAAGGGAAGCCTTACGTGTGTGGGCAATGCGAGAAAGCCTTCGCCTTTGTCAGTGGCCTTCAGCAACACAAGAGGACTCACAGTGGAGAGAGAGTCTCTCGGTGCAAGCGCTGTGAGAAATCCTTCTCTTCTCCTTACTACCTTCAAGAGCATGAGAGAATACACACAAAAGAGAGGCCCTATGCGTGTAAGCGCTGTGAGAAAGCCTTCACTTTCTCCAGCTCCCTTCGAAGACATGAAAGAACTCACACTGCAGAGTGACCCTGTGTGTGTGTGCGATTTGGGTAGTAGTCAGGAATTCTTGTGTGTTTTGAACCCATGAAAGAGCCCACACTGTATGGATGAAAGGAGAACATGAGAAAGTGTTTTCTTGGTCCAGTGCCATTCGATCCATGAAAGAATCTGCGCCGGAGAGAGACCCTGTGGATGTGAACAATGTGGGAAAGCATTCACTTGGTCTGTTGTCCTTCGAAACCATGAAAGAGTACACACCAGCTAGAAACTGTCTTTGTATGGTCTTGTGTGAATGCCTCCAGTCACTAGTTTTCTTCAGATGCATGGATTAGCTCCTATTAAAGAGAAGTTCCATGCATCTAAGCAGTGTGGACAAGCATTCACGCGACTCAGTGCCCTGTGAATCCATGAACTCATGGAGAGGGCCACTTCGTCAATCTGATGTCCTTCCGTGAAAAACTCATGCTAGAGAGAAGCCCTTCTCATGTCAACAATGAGAAAGCCTTTACATTCTCCTTTTCCAAACACATGCAAGAATTCACAAGAAACCATATCGATGTAAGCACTATGAGAAGGTCTTCTGTTACCCCTCTTCCCTTAAACACCATAAACGCACCTGCAGAGAGACCCTAAGGATGTAAGCAATGAGGGGAAGCATTAAACAAAGACCTGTTTTTCTGAGCACTTGCTTTCTATCAAAAATATCTTGGCTTCTTGAAAGTAAAGAAATAAAGGATCTGTTTTTCCCCTGAGGTCTTAATAAACTTGCAAACAAAATGTAGGCCTGGGTCCTTCATTATACTTTGTGGTTAATTTCATGATTAAGATACAACTTACTTAACTGAGCATGGTAAATAAAGTATTCTTGAAATAATGATGTCTGAGATTGATGCTTAAAAATTAATCAAAGGTACTGGGAAGGTGGCTCAGTGGTAGAGCGCTTGCCTTGCACACATTAGGCCCTGGGTTTGATTTCTCAGCACCACATAAACAGAACAAGCCAGAAGTGGCATTATGGCTCTAGTGGTAGAGCGCTAGCCCAGGCCCCACAACCGACCAAAAAAAAGCATGCCTGAAAGCAGAGATAGTCACTGGCAGATAACATTCATATCCCAGGATTAACATACATATTTATGCTTCCCCATTGCCACAAGTTGAGTTTGTCTTCTGTCTGTCCAGTGTTGTGTGGTTTAACCACAGGCCTAAACGCATCAGGCCTGGCCCAACAGACAAGGATGCACAGAAAATCCAAATCTGAGCAAAACATTCCTTTTACATTGATTCAGCCATATGTTTTGTCAGAATTCTAGAAAGTTCTCTAGGCCAGATATCATTTGTACTCTATGCTAGGTGAACATTTGGAAATAGTAAACTACATTTGCTCCTTTGACATCCATAATAAGGATGCTTAAATTGGAAGTTCAAGCTGTTACACACATTGCTGGGCCATCAAGGAACACAAGAAGAGTAGAATTAAAGATGAAATATACATAATACTGTCAGAGGCCAGTAGTTGATGGTGTGAAAACGTATAATGAGCCGGGCGCCGGTGGCTGAGATCTGAGTATCATCGTTCAAAGCCAGCCCAGGCAGCAAACACCATGAGACTCATCTCCAGTAAACCACTAGAAAACCGGAAGTGGCGTGCCTTGAGCTGAGGAGCTGAGGGACAGTGCCCAAGCCCAGAGTTCAAGCCCCAAGGCCGACCAAAAAAACCCAAAAAAGTATAGAGAAAAGTTTCCTGCTTTGACCTTAAGTTCAAGACAGGGAAAATTGCTAAGCACCAGCTGAGATGAAGTCAATTGCAACCAAGGTGGACATTAATGAGGCCTTAAAACATTTCATTCATTCAAGAATGTATCTTTCCAGGCCTAAGCAAACCTCAGGATCATTTACATAACTATTATTTCTTGTGCTTTTAGAAAGGGATAAAAAATTTGATCTTATTTTGTTCAGGCTTTGGGATGCCCATTGGAATAAGCATTAGCCTTGAAGGGGAGAAACAGCACCCTTTCCCATTTCCCATTGTTGGCATAAAGAATTCTCTCATGGTAGGCTTGGGGACAATATGCGGTGTTGCATACATTGGCTTCAGACGTGGGCATGTCCAAAGGTTCTATTCGAGGGAGGCCTTGTGTGCACAGTTCTCCCAAGTTACACCAGATTTGTGTCAAGGATCAATGAAAAGACAAACCACACCCAACAAGGAAAATACCTGGTTATCTGAAAAAATTAACTCTCAAACCAGAAATGATGGCGACACGAAAAAGGGCAGCGGATGAGTCTAGTATGAAATGCTGCTGGTATGACATCACACTGTTCATAACCCAGACTGTCACAGAACGTCACCATAATTCATTACTACACATGGTAGGATCACAGTGTCACCATAATGATCGTGTTTGCTGATAATCTGGCTGGTGAGTTGTAGATTCTTTTGACATGTCTGACTCTCTGTGTCCTGGGGTCAGGGGCTCATTCATGTCCATCTATTCCCTCTACTTTGGGATAACATACAAGCCATATTGTGAGATCAGCTCCAAGCAGTCCCAAGTGGCAGACCATCAGTAAGACTACCCAAGGGCAAGGGGTGAGTCTCTCCATCAGGCTGAGAGGGTACCATTTGGAAGTTCACATTTCTTAAACATGAGAGAATGGAAGCCAAAAATCATTTCACCTGTCTCCATTGTTCACCATTACCTGGGAGCATTGCAGAGTTCTAGCAGCGACCCAATCTGGGCAGACATAGTGTCATATTTCAGGGAGTATTGCTACAGACTTGCTCTCATACTACTGTAATTCAGGAAGTTGAGGTTTCATTATTTTCCTCAATAGCAAAACATGGTGAGAAAGAACTGGTAGTTCTTTTAAAGTAAGCCTGCAGAGAGAACCTGGGAACTTTTTGAAGGAAGAATTAAACGTTTCGTATTGAAGGGTTATGAGGCAGTGACCATTTGTTGCTTGTTTATCTCAGCTAGCAGGGCAACACGTGGTGGTGATCCAAACACCTGGTTGTGAGCCTTTATAAGCTCTGTGAATCCTTAGCTCGGGGCTCTCCTCCTAGGCTCCGCTGTGTCGGAGTGTAGGACGAGGCCTGAGCTGCAGACCGTCTAAATAAAACCTTAAAACAGCTGTAGAGTGTGACTCTCGGTGGTCTTCTTGGTGGGGTCCTGCGACCTGGGCACAACAGCATAGTGAAACATCCAGTATTGTTCCTTTCAGGATTCCACGTATTTTTTAGTGACTGACATGTCGCTGTGAACTTTTAGCATTGATAATATTTTTGTGACATATGGCCTTGGGATTTGAAAAAAATCGTATTTTACCTGTAGTTTTTTCCCCCCTCAACATTTATTCAGGCAGTTCATGAACTAGGGCTATCTTTCTGTTTTACAATGTCTTTAGTTGCTGTGCTTATAGTTATGCAGTTTACATTGAGTTATGTTTACTCTGGTATTTTGTCCGTTTAAAAATATTAAGTAGGGGGCTGGGAAGGTGGCTCAGTGGTAGAGCGCTTGCCTTGCATGCCTGAGGCCCTGAGTTCCATTCCTCAGCACCACATAAGCAAATGAAAAAAGCCGGAAGTGGTGCTGTGGCACAAGTGGTAAAACATTAGCCTTGAGCTGAAGAGCTGAGGGACAGCGCCCAGGCCCAGAGTTCAGGCCCCACGACCGGACCCTCCCCCCAAAAATATTAAGTAGTTGTACTTAATGTACAACTAATATGTAGAGGTGACATATGTCCGATTATGAGCACAATGTGTCTTGACGAATGTTTTTCCCATTCCCATCCCTAGCCTAAAGTTAGGCAATTCAGTTTGAACATAACATACATTGAATATAATAACTGCATTTGCTCACCTTTCTTTCATAGAATAATTTCTTAAGCTTGGGCAGGGATTCATTTTCAATTTTTTTTTTTTTGTCAGTTGTGGAGCCTGAACTCTGGGCCTGGGCGCTGTCCCTCAGCTCTTCATCTCAAGGCTAGCGCTCTACCACTGGAGCCACAGCGCCACTTCCCACTTTTTTCTTTTTGTTTATGTGATGCTGAGGGATTGAACCCAGGGCCTCGAGCATGCAAGGCAAGCACTCTACCACTGAGCCACCTTCCCAGCCCCTCATTTTCAATTTTTTATTTTTGCTTTTGATTATGTACTTTAATATCATCACCGGGAGAAACGGAGGGAGACTAACATTTTGCCCTCCATCAGCACTGAAAAGATTTGAAGACAGACCTGCGCAATAGATCATCTCCAGTTTGGGGCCCAGACCCCACCTAGGAGGAATCCAGAGCTGAGAACAATTGGTTAATCATTATTTTCCCCCTTCCACTCAGCCAGATGAAGAACATGGGTGTCAATCAGGCTCAGGGGGTGGGGCCTGTGTCTACCAATCCCCAATCAGGAAATCTGATTCTGCCGGAACTGTCCAAGGAGGGGGTGAGTGGTGGGCGGCACCGCCAGATGAAGGATATGGTTGTCAATCAAGTGCCGGGGGCGGGGCCCGTGTCTAACAGCCCCCAATCAGGAAGTCTGGTTCTGCCAGAACTGTCCAGTGAGGGCGCGGGTGGTGGGCGGTGCTCTGCTGGCGCCGGTCCCTGCTTCCGGCCGGCCCCTTCGCCGGGAGTGACGTGTCGGCGCCTTTGTGACGTCGGGGGAGCCCCAAGTCCGGGATGGAGAGTGCGGGCGTCCCCGGGGCGGCGGGGAGGCCGGGGCCGGGGCGCGGCCTGCCCCCTCACGCCGGGGCCGTCGTGCCGCTCCCCTCCGTCTTCAGAATGTTCTAGACGTTATCGTTGACCGGCATGACGAGTGCGAGCCCGACTCCGTGGCACTCGCGGCGCCGCGTGCAGCAGCAGGCGTCCCAGGCCTTGCTGCACCCGAGGGGGCGAGGAGAACGGGGACGCGCGGACGGGAGGAACGGAAGTCGGCCCGAACGCGGCCCCAGGGACTTCCTGTTGCCAGGGTGACAGTAAACAAGACGTGGCTGGACAGGCGCGGGCGCATGCGCAGGTGCAAGGCCCGGCCGCAGGCGCAGGCGCAGGCCCGGACACAGGCACAGGCGCAACCCGGACACAGGCGCAGGTGCAGGGGCATGCGCAGGCGCAGGCGCACGCCCAAGTGTAGGCAAGCCAGGCGCATGCCCAGGCCAGGCGCAGGCGTAGGCGCAGGCCAGGTGCAGGCGCAGACCATGTGCAGGCGCAGGCCCGGACACAGGCGCAGGTGCAGGCCCAAGTGTAGGCAAGCCATGCCCATGCGCAGGCAAGGTGCAGGCGCATGCGCAGGCCAGGTGCAGGCGTAGGCGCAGGCCTGGACACAGGTGCAGGGGCATGCGCAGGCGCAGGCGCAGGCCCAAGTGTAGGCAAGCCAGGCGCATGCGCAGGCCAGGCGCAGGCGCAGGCACAGGCCAGGTGCAGGCGCAGGCGTAGGCGCAGGCCAGGAGCAGGCGCATGCGCAGGCCAGGTCCAGGCGCAGGCCAGGTGCAGGCGTAGGCGCAGACCATGTGCAGGCGCAGGCCCGGACACAGGCGCAGGTGCAGGGGCAGACGCAGGCCCAAGTGTAGGCAAGCCATGCGCAGCGCAGGCCAGGTGCAGGCGCAGGCCAGGTGCAGACGCAGGCGTAGGCGCAAGCCTGGACACAGGTGCAGGGGCAGGCGCAGGCGCAGGCGTAGGCGCAGGCCAGGCGCATGCGCAGTCCAGGCACAGGCCAGGCACGGGCCCAGGCGCAGGCCCGGAGAGCGACGTTGCTCACAGGAAGTTGTTTAAGGGACTCCACAAGTT